CTCACTAGTACAGGCCTACGACTGAGCCGCTGGGCCGAAGCCGAGCACTTTGCCTGGCTTTTTGCGGATCCTCACGACTCCTTTCCAGTGGCCGCCCTGTAATAAACATGTAAAAAGAACATCTGTCAAGTCTGGGTATAGAACTTGGTGTCTAGTATGGTACAGGATCAACCATGGTGCTATACAGGGTTGTCCATTCGCACAGAGACTTCATAGGAGGTCAATGCCCATCCTGGCTTCGCTCCACCTAGTGGCCAGCAGCTGTCTGGCCTGTCACTGTGTGTGTGTGTGTGTGTGTGTGTGTGTGTTGGGGGGTCATCTCACTATGTAGTCCTGGCCGTTCTGGAATTCATTAGGTAGACCAGGATGGCCTCAGACTCACAGAGATTCACCTATTTCTGCTCCCAAGTGCTGGGATCAAAGGCGTGTGTCACACCGTACCCAGCTTATAATATTTTTAAAAACATCTTTAACCGAAAGCCCAAAGAAAAACCAGTGACTAATATGCCACGAGTTCATTGATAAATACTTGATTTAAAGTAAGTGTTTTCAGAGTTATGTTTTAGTTTTCCACCAGTAGACACGAACTCACATCGTAGGTCCCCCACCGCTTGGGCTGTTCTCACTCAGGCCCCCTGCCCGCTGCGTCTTTGTGGGTCAGTCCTGTCCTGAACGTGATTTCTGGCTTGGCTGGCTGCTGCCCTGCAGCTGGGTGTCCAGCTTGTCTGACCCGGCCTGGGCTCCACCTCTCTTCTGTGAGGTAGAGGTGGTGAGAGGAACGCCCCCGGGTGATGTTTATCACAGATGGAGAGAAGGCTTGTGGAGCCCAAGTCCCCTGGGCTCCCCGACTCTTCATCCCTAAGACACCTCGAGCATGTGTAGCAGTCTTTGCCCAGACGGCCGCTGACCCAGTTCCCTTGTAGCCTTGGATGCCTCTTTTCTTTGGGTTTCTACCTAATTAATGCTTCAGGGGATAATTTAAATTGTTAGAGATGGGAGTGCAGGAGAGGATGCTATCGGGGGAGAGAGTTGGGGATGAGTGGCGCCAGGTGATGTGGGCACAGCACTGCGCACAGGGGCACTGAGGTCTACTCCCCGGGTGCCTGCCATCTGTGGGAGCGCAAGGGAGGATGGGCAGATGACTTCAGACACTGATCTAGAATGTGCGGTACACTAGCACAGGGTGGGGCAATTCTGGGGGCATCTGGCCTCAGGTGAGGGCTAAGGTTCCCTTTGTACTTAGGTGATGCAGCGCTTTGTAGGGCTGGGCTGTCTGCTGAATTCTTTGAAAATGCATTAACCCCTTTTGCTGGAAAGCAGTTACCTATGTGGATGGGTGCCCACTTACGTTGTCTGCATTACTATGTAGATTGGCTCCACTTAACTTGTGTGTGGTGCTTTTTTATTGCTGTGATCATACACCATGACTAAGGCAACTTCTAAAAGAGTTTGTTTGGGGCTTACAGTTTCGGAGGGTTAGGGATCCTGGCAGCAGGCAGGCAGGCAGGCAGACAGACAGACAGGTAGGCAGGCAGGCAGGCAGGCAGGCAGGCAGGCAGCAGCAGGCAGCAGGCAGGCAGGCAGGCAGGCATGGTGCCCGAACAGCCGCTGAGAGCTCACATCCTGATCCACCACCACAAGGCAGAGAGGTAACTTGTGCTTTTGAAACCTCAGAGCCCCCCTCCCCCATGACACACCTCCTCTAACAAGGCCACACCTCCTCATCCTTCTCAAACAGTTTCACCAACTGGGGACCAAGTGTTCAAATATATGTGCATATGGGGGCCATTCTCATTCATACCACCCCATGGGCCTTGTAGGAAGTGTGGCTGAGTACAGAGAGCTGCCTCACCCCCTTTGAAACTGGTTACCAGCAAAGACTTGTTCTCTGCTTTTGTTTTTTTTTGTTAAGACAGGATTTCTCTGTAGTTTTGGTGCCTGTCCTCGAACTAGCTCTTGTAGTCCAGGCTGGCCTCGAACTCACAGAGATCCGCCTGCCTCTGCCTCCCGAGTGCTGGGATTAAAGGCATGTATGTGTTCCACCGCCACCCGGCTTCTTCCTGTCCTTTCGTTGGAATGTTTTTGCTTCTCTTACTTGAGGTGTATACTGGCTTCTCACTTAACATACAAGTGATTCCTCCGTCTTTACAACCTCTCAGCCCCAGAAGGGTGGCTCCAGGGTTAAGAGTGCTCGCTGCTCTTGCAGAGGACCCGGGGTCTGTTCCCAGCTAACTGCAGTTCCGTGGGCTTGGACACCCTCTTCTGGCTATCATGTACACCCCTCCCCCACACACTAATAATAAAAATAAGTGGTTGGTTTTTTTTTTTTTTTAAAGATTCTTTACAACTATCATCCCCTGCTTCTGGGCTGCAGTTCTCAGCCTCAGGTGTTTGCAGTGGCCTTGGTCCGTCTCCTCTGTTGTTCAGACTCCTGTGCAGATTCCTTAAGGTCAGCTGTGCCTCGCACGGGAGTGCTGTGCGTCTATGGAACGTGCCTTTCATTTGACCCTTCTAATTACCCTTAAGACCTACACAGCATGCTTCCTAATTAGCCTTTTAAAAACCTGAGGTGAGGCCGCGTGTGCGCATTGGCTGTGCAGTCTCCACAGCTGCTTGCACTTACAAAGAACATTCTCTTGTGTCTCTGCCCGCTTCTGCTCCCATCCTTCCTTGACAGTGGATCTGTGTGGACTTCTAAAATCCCTAGGTGTCAGTGGCTCTGATTCATGACCATAGCCTTTGTCAGCCGCCCCTTGGAGCACTCCAGTAAAGTTGGGCCCTTTGTAAGAATCCCCTTTGAATGGATTTTTTTTCTATTATCGCTGTCTGAGACAGGGTCTCTCTATGTAGCCCTGGCTGCCCTGCATTGTCTTTATGTAGACCAGGTTTCTTTGAATCCACAGAGATTCGCCTGCCTCTGCCTCCTGGGCACTGGGTTAAAGTGTGCGTCACCTCACTCTTGAATCTCAAATGAAAACAATACACATATTTGTGAAAGCCTTGGAGATGAGACAGCCCAGAAGGGCAGCAGGAGCTCTGTTGGAAAGCCTGGTACCCACTAGATGGAACTGGTCTTCTATCCCTTCCACATGCTTGCCACCTGACTTTAAATGTGGGCCACGGCCGACTTTTCACCCACAGAGTCCTCTCGGTTGTTCAGGTTTGGCAAGTTCAGGTGCCGGAGAACCCCGAGCCCTGGGGGCCTGTGGCAGAGGTTCTTCTGGGGTACACAGTCAGGATCTGCTCCTGAACAACTTGCAGGGTGCACCTAAGAGATCCCCTGCCTCCCAGGGCTACTGAGTTGTCACCTATCCTGTCCTGGGCCTGCTAGCCACATCTCTTAGGAGAAACAGAAAGGACAGGCAGTGCCCAGGGAAGCCATCTTGGAGGACTGTTTTCCATGAGCACATTGAAGGAGGGGGATCCAGTCCTGGTGGTGGTGAGAGGGGTCGTCTGGGTAAATGCTGGGCTATTGCAGTGGTGGGTCAGACTTTGGGGCAGTTATCTGGCCCAGCCTAGCATTTATCACTGTGCGGGACTCACGGGACTTTTCCAGAGCCCCACACTGATCCGTAGTGCCATCCCGAAAGCAGAGCCAGGGCTTGTGTCTGGTCTGTGGAGGCTGTGTCTTAAAGACGTTGCATCAGCATGATGGATTATTATGCATCCTTGAAGATTTGATTATCTAGATAATGTGGGGCCTTGGACTTGTTTAACCACCCAGTAGTATCGAGAGCAACTGACAGAGACTCCAGTAGAAACACGGTCAGAGGTGAGCATGCCAAAACCAAACGTGCACACCTTTAATCCCAGCACTCAGGAGGCAGAACCAAATGCACTTTTATTTAAGTGTTGGGATTCTAGGTAGTTTCTGAATTTCGTGTTGATAAGCATTGTTTTTTGAATGAACCCTTTTTTTTTTGGATAATGCTGACTCAGGAGGAATATACAAGCATGGCATTGTTTCTCATTTAGTTCCTCCTGTGGTTCAACAATCAGCGTATTTTCATGTGTTTTGGTTTTTTGTTTGTTTGTTTTGTTTTCCCACTATTGAAGCAGAGTTTTGGGAAAGCCCAGCGTGTGGTTTCTGTAGGAAGGCACTCACTAAGGTGTTTCCTAGAGCAAGGTGTGTGTGTGGGGGGGCATGCAGGCATGGCGGTGCACACCATCATCCTACAATCCCAGCACCTGGAGGCTGAGGCAGAAGGATTGCTGTGAGTTCCAGGCAAGCCTGAACTGTAGGATGAGAAGCTCTGTCTTAAAACCCAAAACAGGCCAGAGGGAGAGGGTCGTGTAGAGTGTGTTGTCCATTCATGGTCAGGTACATCCAAAAGTGACTGCTTTGTGCTTGGCTTGTTTGCAGCAGGGCTCTGTCCTCTAGTTTAAAGGTGTGGCTCCTGTCTAAGAGAAACGTCCAGGCTCTCACCCCAGGGCCTCTCCTCCCTTGGCTTGCTAGGCCAAGGGCTATGGAGCCAGCTGTCAGAGGGCTGCTCTGTTGTCACACCCAGAAAGACCTTTGTCAGGCTTGGCCCCGCCTTTAAAGTTATTATGCCCCTGGTTCGGGTTTCCTACACAAGTCCTTGTCACGGCTGAGGCCTCCTCGTGAACTAAGCTGTCAGGCGACAGTCTGGGATGATCAGACTAACATGTCTCCTCCTGGTTCTAAAACTGCTCGGGCTTTATGTTCTGTTCCGTGGTGTGTGCCTTTTAGTATTTCAAAGCTTAAAGTGCCTGCAGGGGGGGGAAAGTTTTTCTTCTAGAATTCCATAGAATCTTTTATCTGCTTTTGGGGCCTTGAATGATCAGCACAGCCATTGGGGAGGATAGCTTTAACTTACCACATTTCCCTGCTGGCTTGTTTTGTGACTCTGCTCAGATGGTGCCCATGCCAGGAGTGGTGGGGCCGGGGTGGAGTGGGGCGGAGGTGTATTCTCCTGCAGGGCAAGTGAAGCAGGAAAAAACGCCTTGAACCTTCCTTTTCCCCTGTGGTCTCATTGCAGGAAGAGAAGGCGGTAAGAGATCGGAACCTTCTCCAGGTTCAAGACCGCGAGCAGCCCATTCCGTGGAAGGTCCAGTTTAACCTGGGCAACAGCAGCCGCCCCAGCAACCAGTGCCGAAACTCTGTTCAAGGGAAGCATCTCATCACGGACGAGCTAGGTACGGCCTCCCTTCCCTGCTCTCAAGGCCCTGGGACTCTGGATAGCCTTCCTGCTCCTCGGTGTCTTCCATACTGTTCTCTCTGTCCCAGACTCCCTGCAGCATCTGGGAAGCTTGGCTGAGGAGCCAAACTCCTAGCAGGTTCTCTTTGCTTACTGCTCCAACCTTGGCCTCAGGCCCAGACCACTTCCTACCAGGCACAGACACAGGGGTTCCTCAACTCGTTTCTCGTGTGTGTGTGTGCATGCGCGCGGTGTTTGTGGTGGTCACAGGCTGACCTGTAGGAGTTGTCTTTCTCCTTTCACTATGTGGATCCCAGGGACTGAACTCAGGCCGTCAGCCTGTTAGCAGCCTCCTCTACAGGCAGAACCATCTTGCTGGCCTGTAAGTCTTCCTATAAGAAAAGAAAAATTGAGCACAGGCCTGTTACTTCACCAAGAAGATGCAGTTAGCCGACAGCAAATGGGGGCGGTGGCAGGGGCCCAGTTTGGAGGCCAGGGCTTGTTTCTACAGACTCAGAAAACAGGAAATTGTAGTCAGGTGGCAGTTGGTTATTTTATTGTCCTGTAGCTACAACAGTGTTTTTCTTCTGGTTAATTTAGGTCAGACAGACTCATAGATTCCTTTAGTTTAAAACATCCAATATTCAGCTTCTCAACCCCTAAAAATCCCACAGGGGCCACAGGTCTTATTTTGCCTTTACAAATATGGGAAACGTGGTTGTAATAGAACAAAACAAACAACTTACGGCTGTTGATGCTGTTTAGTAACGAGAGGCCACCTTGTCGCTAGGGTAACAGCGCCGTTAAACCAGATAGCTAATTAGAGTCAAAAACTTTTCAGAAGCTGGAAGTTAATTTTCCAGGCAAGACCAACACATTTGCTGGCCCTGGTCTCACAGGACTTGGCGGAAATAATATCTACAGAGCTCATCGGCACAGCAGTGTGTGTGTGTGTGTGGACTGAAACATCACAATGCCTCGTGTGGTTCATGTAGGGGGTTTTTTGTTTTTGTTTTTTCAACTAAAAATAAAGAGGAGCTGGAGAGATGGGTCAGTGGTCAAGAGCGCCGAGTGCCTTTGCAAGAAGGCCTGCCTGGGTTTGAGTCTCAGCATCCATGGAAGGCAGCTCACTAACTGCCTGTGACTCCAACTCCCAGGGATCCAGCGCCCTCTTCTGGCCTCGGTGGGAATCTACACTCACACATGTGCACACACATATAGTTAAAAATAAAAATTACATGGGGAGAGGCGTGGGTAAGCCTGCTCTCCTCAGAAGTTAGACCTGCTCACTGGGAGGTGAGCACCAGAGTTGAGGGCCGAGTGCTGGGAGTTGGCAGTGGGAAGAAGAGGGCCTCAGGTGTCAGCCTGTAGCTTAGTGAAGGAGAGGGCAGGTGGTGAAGTCAGCAGGTTGCTCTTGGGGTGCACGGTATAACCCACCTCCACGATACAGAGCTGCTTTATTGTTATCATCTGGGGTGGAATCTCCCAGGGAATTCTGTTCAGAACCCTTGTCAACAGCGTGAGCAGGGGGGGGGGGGCAGCTGGGGAGGAAGCGTCTACTAGTGCTTGTCTCTCCGCTCAGGAGACACTGTAGCAGAAACAAAACAGAGCTGCCAGCTCCCAGGTGGTGGGCGTTGTTCTCTCCTAGTCTCCCCAGTGTGGAGTGAGGGCCCTCTAGTGGCCCCTCTGGTGTCAGTGTTCGGCTACTCTGCCCTCTCCTGCATAGACCTTGTTTTCCAGAGCGGTTCTGAAAACAAGTTCTCCTCCACCAGCCTCATTCTCTGGAGACAGAGCTGGGGCACTCAGATGGCCTGATGCTGGGGACAGCTGCTGCACACACCCGAGGGCCCACACACATACCTGAGGGGCCCTGCACACACCTGAGCGCCAGCACGCATACCTGAGGGGCCCTGCACACACCTGAGGGCCAGCA